TGAATAAACGAATTGGAATGAATCGCTTACCCGATGGTTATTAAATTTAGCATTTTGTTTCGGCCTGTCAGCACTTAAGTCCTATCTCATTAATAATTAGGATCCCTTACAGAAACAAACCACCATCAACAGCGAGTGCAATGCGTATTTCCTTTTAACACATTGATCGACATACCTAAGAGACTAAGTTTAGCTGGTTTCTTGATATGAGTTACAGTAAAATAGCAAGTACATGATGTGTGATACATGATTAGTAATAATTGGAGGCCGATTTCCAAATATCCGTGTAAAAATTATTATGAATAAACAACTTATTCAAGTTAGTATACCATCGAACATTTTAAGTATTTAATAAATCCGAATGCGAGATAACATACTTTTAATTTTCTTGTAACATTGTGACTAACACGGGCATTTTTTAAACAACTGTAGACTTGTCGAAAGGCTTTCCGATGAATTATCCTAAAGCTACGAATTGTAAAACTGATCTATTAAAGAAATTTATTCTCGGCAATTCAGAAAAATAGAAATAATATTTTCAACTCCGATAAAAATCCCCACAGTAATTATTTTATTTAAAAATTAAAAAAAAAAAAAAAAATGTTTTATATTTCTATTAATATTATTAATATAAGCGAAATGCTGAAGTAACAGCATACAATCCAACAACCAAAATTATGTAAAAAACATAGTGAAAAATTATAAACACCTAACTAAAAATACATACGCAGAAGGTTATGACCAAAACTTAATCTAGGAAATCTATCTATTATGTCTCTACTTAAATATTTTGGAACAATGTTTTAGTGGGCGTGCTAGGGACCCATTGTCTGAATGAATTTGCATATGAAATTAGTAGGTTGGACCAAATCGATTCCTAAAATGTATAAAAGACACCAAGTTTGTTCAATAGTGAAATGCGACTTTTAAAATATAAACGACATTATTAGGTTATCCTGAAAAATCCATTTTTCATTGTATTTACTTTTAAATTAAATTGTTTATTACTAGTTATGCCTGTGATTATTTTCATCTATTAGTGTTCAGTTTGAGGAGTTGTCGGTGTTGTGAGAAAACCAACTATATGATCATACTCGAAGAGTTGTACTAATTTTCGTACGCATATAAAATATATATATATATATATATTTATATAATTTATACTATGAAAATTGTTAGTTAATTATATACATTAACGTTATATTATTTACAAATGTATAATATGAACATATTATATAACATATGTTTGTGCATATTTTTATATTCATTTTATTTTAGTTGACTTAAAATATTAAAAAGTATTTAAATGTACCCTTTAGTATTGTTTTATGATGTAAGCTTATTTATTATATAGTTTAAGCCTGATGTTGACCTATGCATTTACAAATCTAAAAATAAAAAAAATTGAAATTATTCTCATATAATAAATAGCGACAGTACAGAAATCATGATGTGTAAAATAAGTTGAAGAATCATCGAAATAAAATTGTTTTATTTAAAATATCAAAAAACTTTATATGAATTTACATCAAAGTAAACAGCTTTTATAATATAATCTTAGTTAAAACAAATCGATTTTATTTTATAAAATGTTTTAAATGAATGTTCGTGTAATCCAATTTTGGCTCATGAATATTTATACAATATATATCATAGGTTATATTATTAAGAACAATTATAAATATTAAAATATTTTGACAAATTCCTAATTCACTGATGGAGTTATTAAACTGTAAGTCGTTACACATAATTTAAGTATTTAATTAATTATTTCCCAGCTATAACTTAACTGTAAAATATTAAGCCAAATAATGAATCGTATACTTTAATCTAATTTATTTCTTCCATTAAACAATATCAATAAATGTATTTTTAAACGTTATTTATTATAATATTTATTTTTTTCTGTATGTACAACTCGGGGCTGAAAACACCACATAGTCACGCGAATGGCGCATTTACTCACTATGTATATGTATACGTATAACTCGACAGTTGTACATATAAATGTGTTTGTGTGTGTGTGTGTGTGTGTTTGTACACGACTTGTCTTTTATAAAATTACGATTTGACTGCACGCGTGAATAATTGCTAAAAGTTACAATTATTTTAATTTTAAAGCGAAAGTGAGGCCAAGCGTTATACATTTTATCCCGTGGTGTTATATAGTAAAGACATGAAATCATTATGCGTATATTAAGAATAAAACAAACTTGTACGTGGTAAGCCCATATAGCACTTGTCGTTTTCCTTGAAGTTCACATGAAACCGACCGTATATGAGATACTTACAACTCACACAACTCTGCCAATCATATTACGAAAAACCGATTTGGTCTAGTTTAGTGTGTTTGGTTGGACGCAGTATCGTGACTTCAGGCGTGTTTGCAGTCAGTTATACTTGTACATATACGATTACAAATATTTTATAAAATATATGAGTATAAAAAGAGTTATATATTTTATAAAATATTTGAGTATAAAAAATATATGAGTATAAAAAGAGTTAACAGCAGGGACAGCAGAATAATAATAATAATTTTCCCGCAAACCATATTCCATTTTGGAATCACTCCCCCTTCCACTCAGAATCCGTCTTTCTGCGGTGCATACGTCTTAATGAACCCTATAAGCTATTTTCTATTTTGCGACCAATAAAACTGAGTTATTATCGAATCAGGATGGTTATCGGATACATATTCACCTCCATTGTGGACTTCACCTCTGTCTCCCCGCCGCACGCATTATTGTCCTCCTCTCCAGAGATTCCTCGGTATATATGCTGCTTCTGCCGCTGATTTTGATTGCCCCCATCCTCGTCCCCATCCAGCGCATACAGCCAACAAGGTCATGCACGCACCCTCGGAAACGTTCATAAATGGGTGAAATTCCAGAAATTAACGATTTCCGATCATTTTTGGTGTCAAAGGTCGTATTTTTTCATTGATAAAATTGCGTAACTCGCAGAACTAATCGAATTTTATAGATTTAATTAAATACCGAATGCTATGCAAACAAAAAACCTTTATAGTCCGTGAAATTTAGGATGGACAAGTTGAACAAAAATATACATTTATAAATAAAATCACATAAGACATAAAAATATACACCGACTCGGAGTATTATTTCGAGTATATGTAATTCATGTAGTGTTGATATCATTGTTTTACATTCGATTCGTTTATATTAAACATTTTTTAATGTTTTACTGTACGTATATGCATTGTATAAGCACACATGTGCACATAAAGTGTAAATGTAAGCAGGTTTTTTCTATAATTTCAGTTTTTTGACCAAAAAATATTTATAAACGCATTAACTTTTAATAATATATAGGCATGATATACTTGACACACTAATTTATCTCGTGTTCGCCTATACGCATACATTTTGTTTTTTTTTAATATTAATTTTTTTAAGCAATACAGGTTATGTTTGAATTAGAAAATTTATATTAAGTCGTATACAATTAACGAACAAAAAAATTAACTAAAGTCTGCATTTTTAAAGATAAATTGTATTTAGTAACATTACTGGAAGATTTATGTATACTTTTATGCAAAATATTATATACAGAATGAAATTTGTATTGTCAGTTTATTTTTATTTAATCTGTATTAATATGCTCATGAAAAGTTAAATTTTTGAAAACATTAAGTGCAATAGTTTAGTGAACCAAATAGTAATATTTTTGTCTTAGGTGTGTGTTCATTATTTATAAAAGTTTAAATATACTCTCAACGGGAATTAATTTATTTAATTAGAACTCAAGTGTAAACTTAAAAACAACATTTTAAGGTTGAAGCCAGAGGCTTATTGTTATAAATAATAATTTGTAACCATTTTTCTGAATTACTGTCTACCAAGATACCTTACAATCGAAAACAATCTTAAGTTTTCTGGCGCCTATTTATGTCTGGTGACAATGTTACATAAAACTTTTAGATACTATACAAACAAATTAAATTAAAAAATGTTTCCTCTGTATTAATAATAGCAAGTGTTTTATGTGCATACAGTTTAAGTTTATCTAATATAAATACAAAATTAATTATGTTGATCAATTCTTAAAATATACGCAATTTCCATAAAACAAAGTAAATAAAATGAAAAAATAACAAAGGCACGCATTTATTATGCAGAAGCTTGATAATATTATTCAAATACAATGTCAAAAGAAAAGTTATTATAACAAAATTGTCCAACAAGCCTTTTTTTGCACATTTGTTTTAATATTAAGCATTTTATGTGTTACTTTATTTTTTATTTAGGTGGGTTTAATTTTACATCAACATGATTAATAAAAATCAGTCTGATTAAGATAATGTATTTATATATTCAATGTTGAATATACATAAATTATTTTTTCGTTCATAATATAATATAATATATTAATTTATTTTGCTGAAAATTGTATGTTTATTTTAACTAATTAAATAGTTTAAGTTTTGACAATCAAATTTTATTTACTCAAAAAATAAACTCAAATTTGTATTTTCTGTAATTTAATTTACGATTATATGAGGTAAAATTAAATAATATGTAGAAACTTATGTTTATTAAAATAATATTTGATTTATTTTAATTTTTAAAAACTAGTTACTTGTTATACACAAGAGGTTATATCGTGCTACGTTTATATAGAATTATTAAAATTTTAGTAAAATCTAAAATTTTAATTGTAGCTGATTAACATAAATAAACAGATTAATAATATTACTTTTTTTTTTTAATTATATGTGTACAAATAAATATAAATTAATAAAAGTTAATAAAAAAAAATGAAAAAAATTTGTATTTATTTTATTTTCATTTTTATACGGATGAGTAAACCTAGAAATGTACATTATCATTTGATATAATGATTGGAATATTCATCGTATATAATTATTGAAATATTTTTTAGTAATTTTAACCGGTCGTATTATTTATTTATTTAATTTTTAAAATCATCGGGATGTTTTTGGTTTTATTATGAATATGAATTTTTTTCTGTTACAGGCGAGCTCATTTAAGAAACTGTTTGGAGAAACTGAAAGAAATGGTACCGTTGGGCCATGAATCATCCCGACATACAACTCTGGGCTTGTTGACTAAAGCCAAACGTTTCATAAAGGTAATTTTTATGAATATATTTATTTGTATATTCTTAATTACTATTTCCTCGCACACTGTCAAATGGCATTTTTTGGAATAAATTATAAACCCTTCCCATATCTTATAGTATAGATAATTTACGCCCTGGATGGCTTAAGGGGATATTTTAGTATCTTTGAGAAAACTGCTTAACCCAATCAAAATATTCACCATCGTTGGTAGAGAGGGGGGCGATAATTATCGTTTTTCTCTATGTATGTAATAATAAAGGCTCGAGTTGTCTGTTTGGGCAAGGTTTTTCAACATAAGCATTGTGACTTCCATATTCGTCTCCAGTTACTATCAAAGTAGATGCTTTTTATTATTATTATCATTATTCATATGGAAATTGTTAAGCAGTTTTCAAAATTAGAAAAGCCGTGAACCCAAATATAATTACAACCTTTGTGATAAGGGAGTAGTATGGACATACGCAAATAGGTTAAACACATTATACCTATAATAGCAGAAATTAAAACACTATTTAGAAAAATGAAAATGTTATTTTCATATTTTGTGAGTGCAAGTATTTTTGTTTGATCAAAAAATCCCGGTTCGTATTTTTACTTTTGAAAATGTAATCGCTCGACCAATAATAAAACGATCATCCTGTACAAATATTATTTACTTCAGTAATCAAGCGTAATGATTATGGTTTTAATCTGAGGTATTGGGTCTTATGGTAAGAGTAGAATATTAGTGGTAGTAGTGCACGATGATTATGCGGCAGTCGGAGAAGGGTGGTAGAGGTGTTTGTGAACAGTATGTACATATCTACGTATATGTTGTAGAGACATGCAATAACCCTTAGAGTTTTAATGAAACCGGACGCTGTTTTTGACGGGTATACGTTTTACGACCGACGTTTCTACGTCTACATATTATTTGTGTATGTAAGTTTGTGTGTACACTGTGCGGTGTACGCAAACAAAATGATTTTTTTTTTTTTTTTTAAATAAATCGTCGATTACGCATACCACGTATCGGAATTAAAACCATCCATAAATATTTGAAAATCGTGTCGATCGTGCAGATTATACAATGCAGTATATTAACTATAGCGTCGAATATCACTCCGTGGTCGTCGTGTAACACTGTACATTTAAAGCCGACCACTCACTGGAGTATTTAATTGTAATGTAACAGAATTCGTGCTAGTTTGAATGTTACATGTTACAAACGACCGGTGTGTACATTTAGGGTCGATCACTACTCTTTATCGGTTGTTTGCCAATCTATCATCATCAGTTATTATAAATATATATGAAATAATATACGAGTGTATCACCGGGTTATGCGCTGCGAGCAACTGGTTCGCCGTCAATCGTAATGGACGTCACGATGTCGTACGTGTCGTAATGTAACATTCCTTTGATATTCGTCAAAATACCGAAATTCGGGTAGATCGATGGCGTCATGGGTCGAACACGAGCGAATGATACAGTAACACCGTACACGGCTGAACATTACTGTTACATTACGCCTAAATGCTCCGGTGTGTATATGGCTTAACAGTCAGCTATAGATCTTTACTCCTTTAACTCTAATGCAACCTGCACATTTTATTGATGAAAATTAGCAACTTGAGATCGATTTTTTAATTATTTAAATGCATTATCTCGTCTCAGAAAATGCTGCGTGGTGTATAGAACATATGTTGTTTACGTATTACGACAAAACGAGTGAAACGTAACCCTACATGAGTGAATTGTTATATTTTAAAATGCCCACGTTTTTTTCCTTTACTTTTTTTGTTTTTATTATTAGTGTACAGAAGTTGAGATTATATATATCATTGAATTTCCATTGTAATTTTTAACGGACTACGAACTTATTTTTAACCTTAACCTTTTTAATTGGAGTGATTTTTTTAATATTTTCTGATTAAAATGTTATATTTTTTTCCATATACGGCATACACTACGTACACGCGTTGTCGAATAATTATCATACCAAATAAATTTCACTATTTTCCCTCGTAGATATTGAAATGACGTCATGGTAACATAATGGTTTTTTTTTTTATATTATTTTATTATTATTCGTCCAAGCTATCTAATTTTATATAATGTTGAACAAATAATGTGCCAAATAATTATTTGGTAACTCAAAGTCTAATGGTATGAATTGAATGCCGTTTCTAGGTGATAAGAGTAAAGCTTTTACTACCCCGTTTGTATAGCACCTATAATCCAACTACGAATGTACTTTAAAGGTGACAGTTTTGACGTGTCGAGTCTAAAGTATCGATTTATTATTATTTTTTTTCTCAAAAATATTTCCACTGAAATAAATTCTTGGAAACCGTTTTATAAATATGTGAATTGACATTTTACTATTATTATTGTTACATATATTTTTTGTTTTGTTTTTTTCTCGATTTTGAGGGCAGCGTCCATTATTTTGATTGCTAAAAAAAGCTGACAAAACATTTCATTGGGAAACAATATCGTTGTTACCCATTTTTTGTGGTACATATATTTTTATATATAAATTTAAGAAACCTTTTTGTATTTCCTTCTTATCGATAGTATTCCTCTGAAAATAAAATAAATACCACTAAACATTTTTTCCCTGCGCATAATACAGAACTATAAAAATCAAGTGGTTTTGGGATTAATATGACACGTTTCAGTTTCTAATTTTTCTTTATGACATTTAAATATTCAATTTCATCGCACACCGTATTCTTCTTAGGTCAATTATTCTATAATTAGAAATCGCGTTTAATTAAATATCAGTTACATATATTGTTTTACATGTATAATTTAATATATGTCGTAATTCCGATCTACTCGTAATAAATTTAATTATTATCATTCTTATTACTACTACATTATATCGATGATTATCAGAAATAAATTCGGTTTTGTTGGCGCATATTTGTTATCATTGTTAGGTATAAATAATTTATTCGTGCGGGTCGGTTTCTAATTATTATTTTTGATAAAAATTGTCATATATACACGAGAACTTTACGCAAGTAAAATATATATTTTAGGCAATGTTAGTTCTAAATACTTTAAACATGGACTCCGATTTGTTTAAGTGTATGCGTTTGAGTCCAAATTAATATTTTTATTTTGGAAGAATGATTTTATTTTTTAATCCTTTATCTGTTTCATACATTTATAAACTATGCTTTATAATCAGATTAATGGAACGACAATTTGTCAAAGATGCATATTCTTCTAATGAATTATGCACATCCAGCCTTAATAATATTAGAGCATGTGGGATAATCGTATTATTATTATGTGACTTTCGCGTGAGATAAGACGCACGTACTTTTCATCGATATATAGTGAGTTTTGTTATTAGCAAAAAAATCGCCATCACCGTGAGAGAAACGAAATCGTTTTAATTATGACAATGGCGTGAAATTTTAATTCGTTAAAATTACGAAGCTTTCGCTACGCCTATACGACGAAATAATAATAAGATATTTATTATGTATACGTATATTTTATATATATCAACCGTGCATGTGCATGCCCATATTCTAAGGATTAATTATTCAGAGCGGTTTCCAGGAAAAGGAAGTTGTAAGGCAGGACAACGATGAGGGTGTACTTTGTGTACACACTCGAGCTGAATAAAAAATACCGTTATATATGTGTATACAATGTTAAATTGTAATAGTCTTGGCGGGGGCGAAGTCATTTGATTTTCCAACAGTTACAACATGATGACATGTGTGCGTATAATACGAATAACTCTCTCAGAATTTATGTTTATGTAAAAGGATTATATAATATAACATTATCGTTATTATTATTATTATTATTATTATTATTATTATTGTTATTATTATTATTATTATTATTATTATTATTATTATTATTATTATTATTATTATTATTATTAGTATTATTATTATTATTTTTTTTTCATTGTACCGTAAATTCATGTGCGAATGGAAAATACACGTGATTTTACACTGCTACACCATCGTCGACTCGCCTTTTATAAACATTTGCGTACACTATAATATTTTATACAATAACGATTAAGTGTATATGCAACGTCGACGTGCGTAATTTAATAATCGCGTAATGTGACCTAACCTAACGCGGTCCGTCGTCCGGAACAAAATAAAAACAAAACAGAAATAATTTAGCAATCAGAGGGAAAAAAAATAATAATTTACCTTTTTTAAGTATTTGCTGTGCATTTATATGCATTGTATGACATAACCTATTACAAGAGGGGATGGATCCTTTTGAAGTTGCTAATTAATTTGACTATCTGTATTAAAGTTTGAGAACAAACGCCTTTTGAAATAAATAATGTATTTGTTTTAATTAGATTGTATGTATTTAATTATCGTTAAGTACTAAGTTTGTGAATGGTCGAAACTTGTTTCTAGAAACTTGTTCACGTCTATTGGATTTCCGACGTATAATTAGTTGATCTAAAGCCCATCGTTTTTGTCTACTCATCCGAATTGCTTTCGTTATTGCGCCAGTCAAACCAAAGGAAGTGGGTGATCAGGACAAAGTGTATAACAATGGAGGGGCAGATTACCGCTTTAAATTTATATCATCCTCCGATTGTCCGGGATTGCGGACGCCGCAGTTTCTCCAGGATTGTCTATTATTAATTCGGTCTGGTAGCTGAATACATGTATGTATATGTATGGAAAGAAATATAAGGAAATGAAAGAGAGAAGAAAAATAATAATAACAATAAATTCTGGATTCTTCTTTTGTCGTTGCCGATCCTAATACCGCCGTTCCGGTAGTAGTTTGAACTCGAAAATTGGTCGACTAAAGAATATAACAATAATATTAAATAAAATAAAAAAACGGTTTCGTTCCTTTTGGTGGGGGCAGGCCAATGAATGGAAGCAGTTCTTTTGTGTTACTGTAGACACACGTAACGACTAACCCAAAGACGTAATAAAACCATGGCTTTATGAGACGTGATGAAATCGCCAGAAACCAAGGGCTGAAGAGGAAAGGCCTTATTTAAATATCA